CACGTGAGCGTCGAGGTGCTGGAGAGCGGAGGAATGCTTATTGGCACCACCGCGATCGAGGAGCCGGCCCGCATAGAAACCGCGGATCTGTGCACGCAGGTCGGGGTGGCATGGTTGGCGCTGGTGCTTAGCGGCGGCGTCTTCGTCATCTTGCCCAGGTACCAGACCCTGGCGCAGTTGCTCCTGTTCTTCGGGGCCCAGAACTTCATGAACTTGTTGTACATCAAGGCGATCATGTCCATCCACACGGTCTGCCAGGAGCTCAACATACGGCGCTTCCATGCGCTCCTAGTGCTGACGGCCATGCAGCAGCTCGCGGGCTTCCTCTTCCCGCGCTGGTGATCCTCGTGTCCCAGCTGACGCCGTGGGCCTACAGGCCGCACAGCATCGTCAGTAAGGACCAGGCCCTCGCGGTGATGGCCCTCGCAGTGTGCTTCACCCTGAACATCGCCCTCAACAACTTCAGCCTCTCGCTCCTGGACATGTCCGTTAACGTTATGGTCCGCTCCACGAGCCCGCCGATGTCTCTTCTCCTGCAGCTGTGCTTTCCTGCGAAGGTAGGCATGGTGCTACTCGGCGTCATCTGCGCGGCGCTGGTGGTTATTTCCAAGAGCACCCAGAAGAAGACGGCGGACCAGAACGAGGGCGGCGGCAGCAACACGCTGGGTCTCCCTGGAGCTCATGGTAGTTGTGATTCTTGGCAAGGGGTCAAGTTGAACGCTATCGACTCGCTCATTTACATGACCATTCCAATCGTCGTGCTGCTGTTGTTGCCCATCTACTTGATCAAGCACCCCGTGTCTTATCCTGGGCACGAGATGGCCACGAATTTCAGCGTGTTCGTGGAGATCGCCCAGCTGAGCCTCGGCACCGTGGTGCAGGTGACGATGTCCGGCATCTGGGCCCTCGGCTACAACCTCCTGCTGTACAACATTGTCAGGGATCTCTCCCCGTTCTTCGCGTCGTTTGCCGCAAACTTCAAAAGGTGGCGGCCATCGCCCTGGCCCTGCTCATGGGCATGGAGTCGCTGCAGGCCGGCCGCTGGAAGTGCCTGATGTGCGCGGGCGTGGCGGGGAACATTGCGGCCTGCACCGCGTGCAGCCTGTGGCCGCCGCAGCCGAAGAAGGAGCTCTCTGAAGAATGCAGCAGGGCTCTGCTGCAAAAAAGGCGGACGCCTGAGGCCCTCGCCACTCTCGCCGAGGAGCGCCGAGAAGGGCGCCGGGCGCCTTGGCGTCGAAGGAGTGCCGTCAGGCGCGCGCGCGCGCATGGCGTGCGTCGAGTGATCTCGCGCCCTGACGGCCGCGGCTAATTTAGGCAGCCTGCGAATCGCTGAACCGCTGTGCGCACGGAGTCTTACCCCTTCTCTCCTCTTCCCGCTCCTCCTCCTGTTCCTCGCCGGGGAGCAGGTGGAGGATATCTCTTAGATCCGTCGGTGCCCATGTCTTTTAGAGGAGCAGGCAGTGCTCGAGGCCTGACGAGGACACTGCCTAGATTCGGTGGATCGCGCAAACCTCGTCCTCATGACGAGGCATGAGCTCCTCCGACTGCACCGAAACGAGATACTATCTGACGCTGTCGGCTGTGGTGGTCGTTTCCTAGTTTCATTGTTGGCGATCGAATGTTCAGAAAGCGAATTGGTCGGCGCCTCAGTATGTGTGCAGTTCGTGCCAAATTCGCCCTTTTGTTCTATCTTTTCACTCCAGTGGCAGCGCGGAGTTTCGCTCTACGCTTTGTGTGTGCACCCGTGGATTTTTTACCAGGCGAGTTTGCGCCAAGCGATGCGTTTCTACCAGTGTGTGTGTGTATATATATATATATATATATATACATATACATATATATACAAACACTCCTCCTCATCTGCTGCCCCGAGCACGGGCAGGGTCGCCAGCGAGCAGCAGTGCGGCCAATTTCCGGCAAATGCTGGCGCACGGCGCCGAGTTTTGTTTTTTTTGTGCGGCCGCCCCGAGCATAGGCAAGGCCACCAGCTTTCCCCCGGACCGCCGTCTCCTCGGTGCCCCCATCAGCCCTTCTATCCTTCCCTCCGTCCTCTTCCCTCCTTTCCCTCCCTTAGGGGAGTGCACTGGCAAAGACAGCTGGCACGATGCGTTGCGAGATCTTTGCGCAGTGACCAGCCAGGGCAGCGGCATATTGGCAAGGCTTATCCAAGCAGCCAGGCTTGCTACCTTGGCGTACCTTCGTGCTCTCGTACTTCTGCAGGTTTATCCGTCAGCTGGCTCCTCAGCACTCTTCTTTGCCACTTACCCTTGGCTAGCTGCAGATTCATGTTGCTCGAGGCGTCGGTGCTGGCGCTCTGGCTGACAGAAAAACATTTCGGCGTGGGACAGGATTGTTTGGTCCATCGGGGCTTATGTTTCTAAAGACCATTGGTTTTTTGTTGATTAGAACTTGGTGGGGTTCTAAAAGAAACATTTCGGTGGTAGGACGACAGGATGCCGGAGGCCGTTAGAGCTCGTCGGTTTGGACTGGCTGTTTTAAACACAATCGGGTCATTATGGTCTAAGAACCGACTGGCTTTTTTATTAGAACATGTGGGGTCGAGAACAGTTCGTTGTAGACTAACAGGAATGCCGGGAAGGTCGGTGGGCACTGGCTTGTTTCAAACCATCGGGCTTATGTTCTAAGACCATTGCTTTTGTTATTAGGAGCATGGGTGGGGTTCTAGGAGCATTTCGAGGTAGGACTACAGAAATGCGGAAGGTCGGTCCCTGCTCAATCCGCGGTGGAACGGGGCCGCGCGCGGCATCCGCGCGGGCAGCCCCCGCGGGTGGCAACCGACCTCGGGCCCGAGTTCTCCAGGGCTGGCTGCGCCCCTCACCTCCTCCCCAGACCCCCTCGAGTTATGACAAAATCACGACGGGAGGTTTTTCATTATTTTTGGCCTCTGGGGGCCCTTACCGGCCCTCGGGACCGTCAAAAAACGACTCAGGACGAAAAACCGGTCCCGGCGAATAGGTCCGGACCTCTGGGGGTCGCGTCATGAAAAAATCATGACGTCGGGGGTCTGGGTCTACCTCTCCGGTCCAGCCTGCCGGCCTGCCTTTCCTGTCTTGCTTGCCAGTCTGCCTCCTAGCTCGCCGTCCTACGTGACCTCGCCGTCGCTGCGGGATTGCGAACTGCGACACCGTCGCAACTGTCGAGTGTTGCTGGGGGTGTACAGCGGAGTGACGTCATACGCGGATTCAGATTGGACCTCACCATGCTTGGGGGGCTGCACACTGCGAAACTGTCGCCACTTGCGAGGACCGCTGGGGGTCCAGCGGAGTGGGGTTCCAAGCGGACCTAAATTTGATTTCGCCATCCTTGAGGGGGGGGCTGCGATCTGCCAAACTATCGCTACTTTCGAGGGCTGCCTTCACGAATCTAAATCAGACCTCGCCATCCCTGGGGGGGGCGCTGCGAACCGCGAAACTGTCGCCGCTTTCAAATGCTGCTGGGGGTCCAGCGGAGTGGGGTCCCACGCGGACCGAAAGAAGACTTCGCCATTCCTGTGGGGGGCTGCGATCTGCCAAGCTGTCGCCACTTTCGAGGGCTGCTGGGGGGTCAATCGGAGTGGGGTCCCGCGCGGACATAAATTGGACCTCGCGTTAAGCTTCGAGGGTTAGGCTGTTAGGGGTAGGGTAAGGGTGTTCGGGCTAATGTGCGTTAGGGGTGGGGGTGAGGTCTTAGAGTTAAGGTTCGGGTCCTAGGGTTAGGGTGTTCGGGGTAGGGCAGCGTGTTAGGATACGGTTTAGGGTGTTCGGCTTATGGGTGCAGGTCTGTGGTTCAGGTGTTAGTGTCAGGGTGTCAGGGATTAGGGCGTTGGGGTTATGGTTTGGGTTAGGGTGATAGGGTTTTAGGGTTAGGGTGTTGGTTTTGGATGGCAGGGTGGTGGGGTGTTAGGGTTAGGATGCTCGGGTTCGGGCATTAAAGTACAGGCTCGGATTCTTTGGGAAGGAGAATGGCCGCCAGCGTCACCGCCAGTGCCCCAGCGTGCCGAAGAGCCGACGCCGCAGGCTGCTTCGTGGCCCCGCTGGCCCCAGCGCCAGGAGCGAAGATCCGCTCCGCCCCTGGCTTCGCGATGAGTTTGCTTGGCGTTCTCCATGCAGTGCCCAGCTCGGCGGCACCTCCGCAGAGGCACCGCGCCTCCACACTCGCCAAGACGATGGGCTCGCCAGCTGCTCGGCATCGACGTAGCCCCCCTGCAGCACCACGCAGTTGAAGTCTGACAGGCCCTCACGAGCCTCGTTGCCGAAAGCCGGCTCAACACGCCGCCCACTGCAGGGCAGGCCCTGCAGGTGCGCGCGATCTGTCTTTCTGGTTCAAACAGGTTTACAGAATTATTCCGTCGTTTAAACTTCTGCAACTCTTCAGAGAGAAACCAAAGTTATAAAGAAATTTATCATGGCTTAAAAACATGGAGAGATTTGGTGAGGTTTAAAGAACCGCTCGTGTAGAGTACTGGGTGCGGGGACGGAAGCGCCCAGAACGGCAATCTGAGCACGGAAGCGCCCAGAACGGCAATCTGAGCACGGAAACGCCCAGAACGGCAATCTGAGCACGGAAACGCCCAAAACGCAAGCAACTTGAGCACAGAAACGCCCAGTACGGCAATACGAGCACGGAAGCGGCCAGTACGGCAATACGAGCACGGAAGCGGCCAGAACGGCAATATGAGCACGGAAACGCCCAGAACGGCAATCTAAGCACGGAAACGCCCAAAACGGCAATCTGAACGCAGAAACGCCCAGAACAGCAATCTGAGCACGGAAACGCCCAGAACAGCAATCTGAGCACGGAAACGCCCAGAACAGCAATCTGAGCACGGAAACGCCCACAAGGCAAGCAATCTGAGCACGAAAACGCCCACAAGGCAAGCAATCTGAGCACGGAACCGCCCACAAGGCAAGCAACCTGAGCACAGAAACGCCCAGTGCGGCAATACGAGCACGGAAGCGCCCAGAACGGCAATCTGAGCACAGAAACGCCCAGAACGGCAATCTGAGCACGGAAACGCCAGGAAGGGCAATCTGAGCACGAAAAAACCCAAGCACGAAAAAACCCCAGAACGACCATCTGAAGCACGGAAACGCCAGGAAAAGGCAAGCCTGAGCACGAAAAACACGCCCCTGAAACCGGCATTCTGTGCATCGAAAACGCACAGTAAGGCAAATCGCAGCACAACAACGTGAGACGGCAAATCTGAGCACGAAAAACGCCAGAACGGCAATTTTAAACACCAGAACATGCGCAGAACGGCAACCTGAGCATCGAAAACGCCAAACTCCAATCTGAGCACGGAACGCCCAGAACGGCAATCAGCTCGGAAAAAGCCCAGAACGCAATCTGAGCACAAGAAAAAAACGCGCAGAACGGCAATCTGAGCACGGAAACGCCCAGATCGGCAATCTGTGCACGGAAACGCCCAAACGGCAATCTGAGCACGGCAACGCCCAGAACAGCAATCTGAGCACGGAAACGCCCAGAACGACAATCTGAGCACGAAAGCGCCCAGAATGGCCGGAGCACGGAAAACGCCCAGAACGGCAATCTAAGCACGGAAACGCCCAGAACGGCAATCTGTGCACGGAAACGCCCAGAAGGGCAATCTGAGCCGAAAACGCCCAGAACGGCAATCTGAGCACGAAAACGCCCAGAACGGCAATCTGAACACGGAAACGCTCAGAATGGCAATCTGAGCACGAAAACGCCCAGAACGGGAATTTGGGCACGAAAACGCCGAGAACTGCCATCTAAGCACGGGACTCTTCCAGGTGTGTTTCACTCTTCCAAGTGTGTCCGTGACTCTTCCGGATGTGTTCGCGTTGCACAATTGGCTCAGTTCAAGCGCAATTTTGGTGCAGTTGACTGAAAGGCTTCCCTCACACACTTCAGATGACAGGCTTGTCCGAGTGCCCTTTTTGTGGCTTGCCTGTGCCTGATGCTTTTCTGATGCTGCACCTTAGCCAAGCACACCCAGGATATCTTGAAAGATTTAGTGGCAGTGCTTCCTCTTCGTCTCCACCGTTGCCCATTTTGGGCGGGTCGCCAGTCCGAGCTAGGAGCTCTGTCCCTTTGAGTCCTGATTCTAGATCAATGGCGTCCCCACTCGCAATAGCAGCGCCCCCGTCTTCTTCAGCTATCGTCCCTGCTCCAGTATCTCATTCCTCTGTTGGATTCCAAAGCTGTGTCGATATGGACTTGACGAATTTGTTGGTATGGATCAAAAACAGAAGCGAGGCTGGTCTCTTGTCTGATTTACTGACAGCTTCTATCGTCAGACCTCTCGGCCGGTGCAGCTGCAGTCAAACTCCCATTCTACGACCAGGATCGCGTCCCAGTCAATCCAAAAAAAAACAAAGGACATGGTCCTATCGCGTGCACGCGGTGCCCCAAGTGTGAAGCGAGAGGCTCGGTCAACTACGATGGGACGCCCTTTGAGGGCCAGCGTGATAAATTGGGACTTACAACGACTCTGAGCATCGTGGCACACTGGTTAGATGGATCAACTGTAACACGGACTGCCAGAGAATTGAAAGTTTGGGACGGGACAGTGCGTTCAGTTTGGGATTCCTGTAGAAGTATTGTGGCTTGGCATCAAAGAAGCTTGCCACGAGTCGCCAATGAAGATTGCATCATTGATATAACGTGGGGACCCCACAGGAGACGCATTCGATACGGAGTTCCTGCTAGACCATTAAAATACGAAAGCTATACGTTCCAGGTGGCCGTTGCTTACCGCATGGAAGTGGGAGTGCGCAGATTTCTGCCAGGATCTCTCAGAATCGAGCGAGTCCTGAGCAAGGACGCGGCTTACAAAAAAAATGTAGCCCTTACCATGTTGGATCCGTCTTGTCGTCGGACAACAGTCCTGGGAGCGAATGGGCGCGGTTGCCCCAGGTTTTCGTTCGGCTGCTACTTCAATCACGCAATCAGAAATGGGTTTGCGCAGGATGGCACGACGACTAAACCTATGGCGAAGCTCAACGGCATCATCAAAAATCTTGGCTCGGAACTGCATATATGGGGAAAGGTCCGAGTCTCTGATGATATACTGGAACGCGCTGGCTCGAGCTCGCATTGGCGCTAAACTCTGGATCAACAAATTCAAATGTTCCAGCGGGTTTTCAAAATTGATTGGGTTCCTCAATGTATTAACTCTATACCAATCGAGTACAGCAGGATCCAGTCCACCAGTCTGCTCCGAGGCAAGGCGCGCCGCAGAGATGCGTGCCATTGCCGTTCCGTCAGGTGAGCACCGCGTTCGTAGGTTCCCGTCAAAACGACAAGAGACCTTGAAAGAGTGCTGGCGAACTTTACGGGGATGGCTTAAAAGTGGTAGCAACAAGTTAGAATTACCTGGTTTGTCCAAAGCTCAACGGTTTTACTGTCACCAGTGGTCCGAGTGCTTCCATGGTATTCTGCACAGTAGCTCTGGAAGCGAGGCAAACCGCGTCTTGGTTCTGACAAGAGGGCAGCGCGTGTATCGCAAACAATTACGCGTGGAGCCGGAGAACCACCCAGACGATGCAGAACACGATGCAGAAGATCCGTCAGATGGAGAACCCAGCACGGACGCAACAGGAGAGACCTCAGATTCCTATGAAGATTCTGATGACGCCCACTCGTACCCCGAAAAAGCGGCAGCATCACAACCGAGGTTTCTGTGGATGCTGTCTCGTCTGGGGAAAGCTCCGAGAGCTTGTCGAGAGTCCAGCATATGGCGACTTGAAATGAGGTGGCTGGCGCAATATGGGGCAAAACAGATTGACGAAGCAGGAAATTGAATTTTTGTAGGCAGCACACCAGCAGCATCGGAAATGCTGAGCAGGGCCATGGCAGCAGCAGACGTAGAAATGCTCGCCGTGGCTGGTCTAAACATGGGCCGATCTTTGGACGAGCATACAGCAAAGCAGCTCACAGACGATTACGCGGACGATTGTATTCTAGGTGCTTTGGCTCGGGCATACGATAGATCGATTACTGTCGTGAATCTTACGAGCATCCGCAGTTTCACACCCTTTTCAGTGGATATCGATGGTCCTGTTGAGAACGCTGTTTGGGTGGCTTACAATAATATCAATCATTATTACGGTACTCAGCCTGCAAAGCAGATTGGGAGTTTTTCTGGTTTTTCGGATTTCCTGCAAAGCAGCAGGAGTTCCAGAGAAGGCCAGCAGCAGCAAGACAAGCCGCCCCCTCCGAAGAAGAGCGGGACGGCGCCAAAACATATCATAATCACACAATCTGGGATGAGAAAGGGAGGTGAGGGATGAGATCGGGTCCTTTGCTCCGATTGCCGATTCGAGCGTTTCCGTGCTCAGGTTGCCGATTCGAGCGTTTCCGTGCTCAGATTGCCGATTCGAGCGTTTCCGTGCTCAGATTGCCGATTCGATCGTTTCCGTGCTCAGATTGCCGATTCGAGCGTTTCCGTGCTCAGATTGCCGATTCGAGCGTTTCCGTGCTCAGATTGCCGATTCGAGCGTTTCGGTGCTCAGATTGCCGATTCGAGCGTTTCCGTGCGTCCGATTGCCGAGTCGAACTCGCTTCCGTGCCAGAGTGGCCGATTCGCGTTTCCGTGCTCAGATTGCGGATTCGAGGCGTTTCCGTGGTCAGATGCCGATTCCGTGCGTTTCCGTGCTCCAGATTGCGGATTTCGAGCGTTTTCTGTCTCAGATTTGCGGATGCGAAGCGGTTTCATGTGCCCAGATTGCCAGATTCGAGCGTTTTCCATGCTCCAGATTGCTATTCTGGCACTTAGTAATATCTCAACCGCCTCGGAGAGTGCAAAACTGCTCAGATTGCTATTCTGGCGCGCCTGCTTGGAGAGCGCCAAAACAGGCTCGGGCTGCCGTTCTGGGCGCGCCCGCTCGGGAGAGCGCCAAAACATGCTCAGATTGCTATTCTGGGCGCGCCTGCTTGGGAGAGCGCCAGAACAAGCTCAGATTGCTATTCTGGGCGCGCCTGCTCGGGAGATTGCCAAAGCAGGCTCAGATTGCTATTCTGGGCGCGGAGAGCGCCAAAACAGGCTCATATTGCTATTATGGGCGCGCCCGCTCGGGAGAGCGCCAAAACAGTCTCAGATTGCTATTCTGGGCGCGCCCGCTCGGGAGAGCGCCCAAATCAGGGCGCGCCTGCTCGGGAGAGCGCCAGAACAGGTTCAGATTGCTATTCTGGGCGCTCCTGCTTGGTGTGATTGGGCAGGTGCTTTAAACCATGGCAAAATATTTTATACATGTGACTCCTCTGTAGAGAAGTGCAGAGGTTTAAACGACCGCCATTTTCTGCAAAGCTTTTCCGCCCTTTCGCCCGCCACAGGACGCCGACCAGGTTCTGGACCGCGAAGATTCGCGCCAAGGCTTGACCCCTCCGTGCCTCAAGCAGTGGCGAAGCGTCTTGGCTCGCCTATAGCCCTACCAAACCATGTTCAAATAACCTTTTGTGGCTTGCTGGAAATGTTCTTAGAACATTTCGGGCTGGGACTGTCCGTTTTGGCTCGAGGCTCCGAGGATCGCCCCAAGACGGCCCAATAGCCTTCAAAAGCGCCCGATGACGGAGTTTTAGTAGCCATGTCGGCCGCGCGTTGCTGCTTGCTGCTCGCCGTGGCAGGCAGCTCTGCCGTCATGGCAAGGGCTCCCTCGAGGGCGCGAAGTTATTCGCGCTTCGCGGTCCTCGTTCCTTCTCCCCCTCCTCCTCGTCCTCCTATTCTCCCTTTGGGAGGGCGGCGCGAGAGCGCGAAGTTATTCGCGCTTCGCGCAGCGCGAAGCGCGAAGTTGGGAGCCCTAGGAAGGTGCACGTGAGCGTCGAGGTGCTGGAGAGCGAAGGAATGCTTATTAGCAACACCGCGATCGAGGAGCCGGCCCGCATAGAAACTGCAGATCTGTTCACGCAGCTCGGGGTGTCCTGGTTGGCGCTGGTGCTCAGCGGCGGCGTCTTCGTCATCTTGCCCAGGTACCAGACACTGGCGCAGTTACTCCTTTTCTTCGGGGCCCAGAACTTCATGAACTTGTTGTACATCAAGGCGATCCTGTCCATCCACACGGTCTCCCAGGAGCTCAACATACGGGGCTTCCAGGCGCCCCTAGTGCTGACGGCCAGCAGCTCGCGGGCTTCCTCTTCCTCGCGCTGGCGATCCTTGTGTCCCAGCTGACGCCGTGGGCCTACAGGCCGCACACCATCGTCAGCAAGGACCAGGCCTTCGCGGTGATGGCCCTCGCAGTGTGCTTCACCCTGAACATCGCCCTCAACAACTTCAGCCTCTCGCTCCTGGACATGTCCGTTGACGTTATTGTCTGCGCCACGAGCCCGCTGATGTCTCTTCTCCTGCAGCTGTGCTTTCCTGCGAAGGTAGGCATGGTGCTACTCGGCGTCATCTGCGCGGCGCTGGTGGTCATCTCCAAGAGCGCCCAGAAGAAGACGACGGCCCAGAACTAGGGCGGCGGCAGCGACACGCTGGGTCTCCCTGGAGCTCATCGTAGTGGTGATTCTTGGCAAGGGGTCAAGCTGAACGCTATCGACTTGCTTATTTACATGGCCATTCCAATCGTCGTGCTGCTGTTGTTGCCCATCTACTTGATCAAGCACCCCGTGTCTTATCCTGGGTACGAGATGGCCACGAATTTCAGCGTGTTCGTGGAGATCGCCCAGCTGAGCCTCGGCACCGTGGTGCCGGTGATGCTGTCCGGCATCTGGGCCCTCGGCTACAACCTCTTGCTGTACAACATTGTCAGGGACCTCTCCCCGTTCTTCGCGTCGTTTGCCGCAAACTTCAAAAGGTGGCGGCCATCGCCCTGGCCCTGCTCATGGGCATGGAGTCGCTGCAGGCCGGCCGCTGGAAGTGCCTGATGTGCGCGGGCGTGGCGGGGAACATTGCGGCCTGCACCGCGTACAGCCTGTGGCCGCCGCAGCCGAAGAAGGAGCTCTCTGAAGAATGCAGCAGGGCTCTGCTGCAAAAAAGGCGGACGCCTGAGGCCCTCGCCACTCTCGCCGAGGAGCGCCGAGAAGGGCGCCGGGCGCCTTGGCGTCGAAGGAGTGCCGTCAGGCGCGCGCGCGCGCATGGCGTGCGTCGAGTGATCTCGCGCCCTGACGGCCGCGGCTAATTTAGGCAGCCTGCGAATCGCTGAACCGCTGTGCGCACGGAGTCTTACCCCTTCTCTCCTCTTCCCGCTCCTCCTCCTATTCCTCGCCGGGGAGCAGGTGGAGGATATCTCTTAGATCCGTCGGTGCCCATGTCTTTTAGAGGAGCAGGCAGTGCTCGAGGCCTGACGAGGACACTGCCTAGATTCGGTGGATCGCGCAAACCTCGTCCTCATGACGAGGCATGAGCTCCTCCGACTGCACCGAAACGAGATACTATCTGACGCTGTCGGCTGTGGTGGTCGTTTCCTAGTTTCATTGTTGGCGATCGAATGTTCAGAAAGCGAATTGGTCGGCGCCTCAGTATGTGTGCAGTTCGTGCCAAATTCGCCCTTTTGTTCTATCTTTTCACTCCATTCGCTACGCTTTGTGTGTGCACCCGTGGATTTTTTACCAGGCGAGTTTGCGCCAAGCGATGCGTTTCTACCAGTGTGTGTGTATATATATATATATACATATACATATATATATATATATATATACAAACACTCCTCCTCATCTGCTGCCCCGAGCACGGGCAGGGTCGCCAGCGAGCAGCAGTGCGGCCAATTTCCGGCAAATGCTGGCGCACGGCGCCGAGTTTTGTTTTTTTTGTGCGGCCGCCCCGAGCATAGGCAAGGCCACCAGCTTTCCCCCGGACCGCCGTCTCCTCGGTGCCCCCATCAGCCCTTCTATCCTTCCCTCCGTCCTCTTCCCTCCTTTCCCTCCCTTAGGGGAGTGCACTGGCAAAGACAGCTGGCACGATGCGTTGCGAGATCTTTGCGCAGTGACCAGCCAGGGCAGCGGCATATTGGCAAGGCTTATCCAAGCAGCCAGGCTTGCTACCTTGGCGTACCTTCGTGCTCTCGTACTTCTGCAGGTTTATCCGTCAGCTGGCTCCTCAGCACTCTTCTTTGCCACTTACCCTTGGCTAGCTGCAGATTCATGTTGCTCGAGGCGTCGGTGCTGGCGCTCTGCGGACAGAAAACATTTCGGGCTGGGACTGGCTTGTTTTGACACATCGGGCTTATGTTCTAAGACCATTGTTTTTGTTATTAGAACATGGTGGGGTTCTAAGAACATGTCGTGGTAGGACTACAGGAATGCCGGGAAGGTCGGTTGGGACTGGCTTGTTTTAACACATCGGGCTTATGTTCTAAGACCACTGCTTTTGTTATTAGAACATGGTGGGGTGCTAGGAACATTTCGTGGTAGGACTACAGGAATGCCGGGAAGGTCGGTTGGGACTGGCTTGTTTCAACACATCGGGCTTATGTTCTAAGACCATTGCTTTTGTTATTAGAGCATGGTGGGGTTCTAGGAACATTTCGTGGTAGGACTACAGGAATGCCGGGAAGGTCGGTCCCTGCTCAAGTGTCGGCGTGGAACTGGCCGCGCGCGGCATCCGCGCGGCAGCCCGCGGGTGGCACCCCTCGGCCCGAGTTCTCCAGGGCTGGCTGCGCCCCTCACCTCCTCCCCAGACCCCCTCGAGTTATGACAAAATCACGACGGGAGGTTTTTCATTATTTTTGGCCTCTGGGGGCCCTTACCGGCCCTCGGGACCGTCAAAAAACGACTCAGGACGAAAAACCGGTCCCGGCGAATAGGTCCGGACCTCTGGGGGTCGCGTCATGAAAAAATCATGACGTCGGGGGTCTGGGTCTACCTCTCCGGTCCAGCCTGCCGGCCTGCCTTTCCTGTCTTGCTTGCCAGTCTGCCTCCTAGCTCGCCGTCCTACGTGACCTCGCCGTCGCTGCGGGATTGCGAACTGCGACACCGTCGCAACTGTCGAGTGTTGCTGGGGGTGTACAGCGGAGTGACGTCATACGCGGATTCAGATTGGACCTCACCATGCTTGGGGGGCTGCACACTGCGAAACTGTCGCCACTTGCGAGGACCGCTGGGGGTCCAGCGGAGTGGGGTTCCAAGCGGACCTAAATTTGATTTCGCCATCCTTGAGGGGGGGGCTGCGATCTGCCAAACTATCGCTACTTTCGAGGGCTGCCTTCACGAATCTAAATCAGACCTCGCCATCCCTGGGGGGGGCGCTGCGAACCGCGAAACTGTCGCCGCTTTCAAATGCTGCTGGGGGTCCAGCGGAGTGGGGTCCCACGCGGACCGAAAGAAGACTTCGCCATTCCTGTGGGGGGCTGCGATCTGCCAAGCTGTCGCCACTTTCGAGGGCTGCTGGGGGGTCAATCGGAGTGGGGTCCCGCGCGGACATAAATTGGACCTCGCGTTAAGCTTCGAGGGTTAGGCTGTTAGGGGTAGGGTAAGGGTGTTCGGGCTAATGTGCGTTAGGGGTGGGGGTGAGGTCTTAGAGTTAAGGTTCGGGTCCTAGGGTTAGGGTGTTCGGGGTAGGGCAGCGTGTTAGGATACGGTTTAGGGTGTTCGGCTTATGGGTGCAGGTCTGTGGTTCAGGTGTTAGTGTCAGGGTGTCAGGGATTAGGGCGTTGGGGTTATGGTTTGGGTTAGGGTGATAGGGTTTTAGGGTTAGGGTGTTGGTTTTGGATGGCAGGGTGGTGGGGTGTTAGGGTTAGGATGCTCGGGTTCGGGCATTAAAGTACAGGCTCGGATTCTTTGGGAAGGAGAATGGGGGGTAGCTAAGCCCCCCCTTCATTTCGGAAAGACAATAAGGGGGAGCTGCCAGAGCGCGAAAGCGGGGAAAGCGGGGAGGGGGGTAGGGCAGCTTCCGCAGGGCGGAAGAAGGGGGGAGGGAGGGAGTGCTTCGGGCACGGGGGGGCCAGGGGGGGGGGGGCGGGAGCAGCTAAGCCGCCCCTTCTGGAAAGGGCGAGAAGGAGGGGGGTAGCTTCGAGACCTCGAAAGGGGGGGGGAGGAGGTGGTAGCTTCCGTGGGGCGGCAAACAAGAGGGGAGGAGGGGGCGCCGGGCAGGGGAGGTCCAAAGGGGGGGGGTAGTTGAGGGGGGACCCCCCTCCTTTGCTCTGGCGCTGCTTGCGCGCTCTCTCGTTGTGTACCACAGCCGTGTTCCTAGAAACGGTCATACGAGTGATCTAATCTAACATGTCCCAGATCCCCCAGCTCTCCAGTTGTTCCGCGTGCGCTCCAGAAAGAAAGTGCCAGGAGCCCAGGAGGGGGCGCATCGACCCCCAAACGCCCATTCATCGCCGAAAAGAACCCGATTGCCCACCCAGCCTGGGTTCGTGTGGATTCGCTATCGGCGGCCTGTCGTTGATATACCGGCGATTTCCATGTCGACCCCCTGAGCTGGTCCCCCCCTTCCGTTGCCCTTAAATCCTTGGCCGATCGCATGCTGGCATCATTGTCGTCCTGTCCCCTGCGCTTGCGGGCCCGTGCAGGAAGTTTGCCGTGCGGGGCCAGCCGTGCGACACTCCGCAGAAAGGCCCCCGGGCCCACAGACCGCATCGGGCCCTCTCCCGAGGGGAGGAGGAGGAGGAGGAGGAGGAGGAGGAGGAGGACCCGTGTAAACCCAAGAGTCAGAACTAGGACTCCAACAAAGAGAATCAACTTAACTGTTGCACCCGCATAATCCTGAATCTTTCCAAAACACCATTTCTGATACGTTGATGATGTGAATCCGTGAAACTCTTACAAATTTCATGAACGAATGTGCGCGGCGCTACGGCGAGAGCCACAGTTTGGAAAAGAAACCGCCTTCAATCCGTGAAGCTCTTGCATTTAAGACGAATGTGCGCCGCGCTAAGGCGAGAACCACATTTTGAAAACCACCCGCTCTCAATCCGTGAAGCTCTTGCACATTTCTTTAAACGAGTCTGCGCCGCGCCAAGGCGAGGGTAACATTCTGAAAACGGCCCGCCTTAAACACTTGCCTCGGGTGCGACAGGGGGACGTAATTGGAAAAGGAAGAGGCAGGAGGAGGAGGAGGAGGTGGGAGGATGATGGAGGAGAGACGAGGGAGGAGGGAGGAAGAGGAGGGGGAAGAAAGGGAGGAGAAGGAGGAGGAGGAAAAGGAAAAGAGAAAGGACAAGTAAGGGGAAAAGGACGAGGGGGAGGAGGAAGAGGAGGAGGAGGAGGAGGAAGAGGAATAATAATGATAATGAGAAGAAGCAGGAGGAGGAGGAGAAGAGGAAAAAGAAACTGAATAAGAATAATAATAATAATAAACAGAAGAAGAATAAGAATAAGAACAATAAGAATGCGAAGAAGAAGAAGAAGAAGAGGAGGAGGAGGAGGAGAAGGAGGGGGAAAGGAAGAGAAGGAGGAGGAGGAAAAGGAAGGACGAGGGGAGGGAAGAGGGAGGAGGGGGAGGGAACAGGAGGGGGAGGAGGAGGAGGAGGAGGAGGGGGAGGAGGAGGAGGAGGAAGGGGAGAGTGGGGGGG